TAATTTTTGCAACCAGCATGATATTGAACTCCTGTAAGTTCAACAAAAGGCAACCAGTCCAGAGCTAGTAAAAATCAGGGAGGGGTACCCAGCAGTTGAAATAATATGAACATTTTCCAGTAATTTTTTTTTTTTTAGACAACTTTCATTTCTTAATCTTGGAACTACATATGGGATTTCCACTGACACAAATAAAATTCCATGCTGAAGACAAAGGGAAGGCATCATCATGGCTACCTACTCCAAGTAAAGTAATTAATAGCTTCTTTTATTATTTTCCCAGATTTAAGAAAATGTAAGTATACAATATTATTGATAAAGGACAGGTGGTTTCAATACAGTTGTGTTTGGATTTGCATCTGAACCTTCTCATATCTAGAAAGTTACTTTTAATACTACTTATTCAATGATATCAAATAGTTTTACAGGCATCAGTATTATACTCTGAAAAGTAGTTAAAAGTTGTGGCATGCATTTTGAAAAACAACAAAGTGATTTCTGGAATAATGCAACAAATAATTTCATGAGCCAGTGACAAATGTTAACAATCTCAATTGTTAATCATGTAATCTACCCAGGCAAGCAAAGATACTTTCAACAGGAAAAAAAGCCCAATAGTTATGTTTCTATGATTAAATAAATCAGCTTACTGAAGTAACCAATTATTTTCAGGTTTATAGCTGAAAGGGGCTTGTTTGTTGCCTGCATACAGTAGGTGAAGAGCTAAGGGGTCACTTTCCAGACTATAAAAGCAAATACCATTAGTATTTTTGAAATCTATCCAAGCTCCAAGTGGTTATAGAGTAGTTGGTAGACTGTAATAGTTGGCCTGCTGCTGAACTGAACAGGATACCTGGTCTAGACATTTAGGCACAGCTGACAGAATCCTAAATTATGCTCTGCTTTTATGTACATTGCATATTTCATACACTTAAACTGCCTAAGTAGACTTCAGAGAGCAAAAATGTTAGGACAATTCATATATTTTTTCAAGGAAATCAGTTTTTATAGCACTTTCTTTTTAAATTTAATTCTAAAATTACTTTTTTCCATTACATTTTTGAAGGAGTAAGGTTTAAATGCTGCAGCAATAAACTTCAGAAGGCAAGTTGTTTTTATTTTCTGCTAGCATCCTGTGATCTCTACTAAGTCCAGTTCTTCCTTCTCTTGGCACAAAATATCTGATTTTCAGCTGAAGATTTTCACTGAAGTCAGGGAGCCCTAACTACTAATCTGACCTCTCCAGCAGAGACAGAAGAGAAAGAGTAACTTGGGATGTCTTTCCTCACAGGGAATTTTATTTATGTATTATAAAGGATTATAACATTCTTGCAGTTAGTTTGATAATACCAAATATTTTATTAAATATTCAATATAAACAATAGCTGAGTAACAACTTCAGAGTAGTTGTTGTTCAGGGCATTTACCCACAACTGTATATCCAAAATGATCTAATGAAAATAGAATTAGCGACAAAAAATCCTACTTAGAAACATCTTATGGCTTGATGATCAGAACACCATTCCTAAGGACTTATGATAAACCTCATTTTCTACATAAAAGGAAGGAAAAGGTGTTGCCCTTCATGTACTCCGTTGTACACTGTAACCACAATTGGAGTGCTTGACAGCAGATAGATAAAACAGTGGAGTTGCTGGCAGCAGCAGTAGCACCAATTTGGGGACTCTAAATATGATCCCACCATGTTTTCTTCCAGCTAGAATTATGACCTAAAGTTAACTCAGCTTCATTATTTTAACTCAGATTTTCACATCTGTCAAAACTCCAATTGCAAACTAAATCTGGAAAGAAAAAAGAGGACTGAAAAGGAGACAGGTACACATGGTATCACATGTGTACCTGTCTTTTGTTTGCCAGGCGAAGAATGAGATCAATCTCATTCACTTTATTTTTGCTAAGTAAATATTTCCCAAAACAGGCTTAATAATTGCAAAGAAGATGGGTTTCCTGGGGATGTTGTGGAGTCTCCTTCCTTAGAGATACTAAAAAACTGTCAAGATTCCACAGCAACTGACTGTGGCCTCACTGAGTTAGGGAGAGGCCTTGATGAGTTGTTGAGGGTGCCTTGCTGTATTGGGTGAATTAGAAGGCTTGGATTAGATACCCTCCAGAGATATGTACCCAGCCCTGAGTGTAACATCCCTGAGGCCAAAGGAAAGAGTGAGTAAACATGAAGCAAGTAAATGACTGTCAACTCTTCAAATAAAACAAAAGGAGAAGAAGCCAAATTGCAAACTCCATCAAAACATAAATCATGCCAAGGCAATATATTGTCTTCCTCAAACACACTAATAGCCTCTAGAGCAAAGGAAAGCAGTAACCACATGTATTGGGTTTGTCAAAAAAAATCTTTTGATAAAGTTCCACGTAACATTACACACACCTACAGAAGCATGAGCCAGAAGAAAAGAGTACTGGGTAACACCAAAGTGCCAGTCGTTGTTACTAGCACACTGTCAACACAGCTGCCTTGAGCACAGTTTCACATATGATTTTTAAAACTTTACTCCACCATTATTCAGATTTTGAGGGGGGAAATTGGGGAAAACCCTGTATATGTTTATCAGATATAAACCAAAATGAAAGAGAGATTAAGCATGCTAGAGGACAGTATCTGAAAATAAATTTATAAATTTCAAGTCAAAGTCTGAACTGTACTACTTAGTTATATGAGTCTATCAGCCTTGTAAACTCACAATTTCTTACAGCTAGAAAAGTTTCATATGTGTTTAGATATAGATATATTTATTTGCATATATTTGTGTGTATATAGATACCATATGTGTATATGTGAACATATGTATATGTATGTAAATACATATTTATATGCTATATTTATTTGTGTATGTGTACTTAAACATCAGCCAAGGAAGGTGAAAAATAACATAATGGACAAGATTCCCCCAGGGAGGAACAGAAATTATTGGGTTCCATAGGATCTTCTGAACAGGAGGCAAATCAAGGCTTTAGGAAATTTTGACAGTCTGCAAGGTTCCTTAATAGAGTTATTAGCAATGACTCATTGGAAGGGGAAAAGCTATGATAGGTCTGGTAGGCATTTGACCTTTCTGCTAAACAGATCATTACTATCAAGTAAGATTAAGAGTGGTTTCCTGTTCTAATCTGACTTGAAGCTTAACCACACTGGGGAAGATCATATGCTGCAGGAATTGATTTACTGTTGGAAACAAAAACATACTGGAAACAGTAATGTAGAACAAAATTGAATCCCCCATCCCTTCACCCAAAAGAAAAGAATAGAAAAAAACACTTGTGAACATGTCTGCAGGATTTTCAAAGTTGTAAACTAACTAAATAAAAAGCACTTTTAAAATAATATACTGAAATAGTTTGTCATCTACATGCAGATCTATCTACATGCAGATATTTTAAAATATTTTTTCTTAATTTTCATTCTAATGAAGATTTTATAAGCCCAAGAATCCTCCCATAACATTGTTTTGCAACAAGTACAAAGACATTCCCTAGACTTAAGCTCTGACAGGAAAAAAACTCAAACAACACCAAAACAAATAAAAAAAAATCAGGGAGTCAACGAAAGTATTGTTATGTCAAAATATAGTATGTATTCCTCAATTCTTGTTTCTAGTTTGTAGAATTTTGTTTATTAATATTATCCATTGCTTTGGAATTATCAGTTATATTCTTCAATAGAGAAAAGTGTGGGCATTTCCAAATGTCAACAATAAGCAGCAGCAGATGTACGGAAAATACAGGGCAAACTTACTAACAGATTTCTGCTGATTTGTACTTCATGTTACAGTCATTGCAAGTAATCTAACCAAGAAAGTGGAGAGGTTATCCAGAATGACAGAGTTAAATTACTGAAAAGGTTTTGCCAATTTACACATGTAAATCTTATTTAGATGTGATACCAGCAAAAGGAAGTGAAGTAACAGGTCATGATAGCACAGAGCTTGAGGTACAGTGTGGGTGGTTACTGGAGAGAAGATTGATCCTTTTCCAGAGTTCTCTTTACTTTTACTCTGAAAAGTAAATAAGCATCTTGTGAGATTCACTTTAAAAGTGTTTCAACTGTTTCAGCTTTACTCAGTGATTTGTACTGCCCTCAATTATGAAATCTATTAAATAATTTTTATGCCTGATTCATCTACAAATCAATCCTGTAAAAAACAAATGACATGCACAGACTGACTGCACCATCTGCAGCATCTGATAAGCTTCCTTAGGCTGTCTGTAAACATTACATCCATTCCTTAAACAAGTCCAGGTGCTACATCACAGAAACCAGGCACTTGATTATTCACAGCTTGTTTTTCTTGGGATAATCAGTGCCTGGTGAGAAGTCAGGTCAGTTGGACAAACACTGCAATTTTTTCATGTTACTGTATGTCCTTGGATTACTTTCCTATGGAGCAATACAATAAGCAGGTCATATTATCTTCCTTGAATCTTAGCATCTTGATATCCCATTCACCCAGGAGGGTAATCATCTGTTATATCCATGAAAATCAGTAAAAAGGAAAGAAAGGAAGATTATTTTTCAATATTCAAAATGACAAGTGAGTCCTTACTTTTACCTTAGTAAGACAGCTATCATATGGACTAAATGGTTTGGCAATACCTGCTATGTTTACTGCACAGAAATTCACCCAGCCTTTCAGGAAGAAGAAGCTATGGCAGGAATGTAAAAGAAAACCTCAGACAAGATGGTGTTATTATGCTCGAGTGGGAATGTGAATACAGCCTGGCTAACTTTGCTTAGTCACTGTAGGACATGCTACTAAGAGGAATCCTAGTAGTGGGGGTTGCTGATAGGTAAAAAAATGTAGGGAGGGATTAAGTATTTTTGCAGAAGTATAGAAATATAGTGAATTAGCCAAAAACTTAAGACAGCTGTTGCAAATGTCTGTTCTCTGGGAAGAGGTTTTCTCAACACTACCTAAAGTACAAGACTGTTACACGAGATGAAAACAAGAGTGCACGGATTTGCTTACCGGCTGGCGGTGCACTGTATTTATGAATCCATATGAGACACAGCTGAAACAGATAATAAACCATCATCTTCATGTATGGAAGGCTTCCAGTCATTTGTAAGAGTCTTTCTGTAAATTGAATGTGACAATTAATTGTGTCATATATTATTTGTTATATAGGTAATATCAGGTAATATTGGCAAGTTAAAGAGTTTCATGAAGCAAGTATTGATATGAATCTATAAATTATGAAAGGACTCGAGCTGGAAAAAATGGAAATGAAAAACCACATGTCAAAGCCTACTTCTCATTCCAGAAATTTACAACCTGAAAACCAGAAGGCATCAAATAACTAAACATTTTGAGTAGTAAACATTAAAAAGTTCACTTGAGGACTATATTCAGAAACTTAACAATACAGTCTATTAAAAAATTTGTTTCTTTTTGCACTTGTGTGGAAAAGCCAATGAAATACATCAGACATGATGTGCTGATGCAACCCTGAATTTTTAGGCAACTGAATTGCACCCACCTACTGAGGGAAAATTAGCAAAGTTTTTCTTGTCTACTTGCCACTGAATTCTTAACAAGTTAGCACAGGTAACACGTGGTAATTTATGAATTACTTAGTTCAGCAACTGCCTACATTTGCAAGTTTAAGGACAGCCTGTGAACTTGTATGTGAAAGCAAGCATTAAACTAAATTCTACCCTATTTATAAGTTTTTGTTTTTCTCATTTCAAACAACTGCATTTTTCTTACTATTAATGAATACAAGACAGTAAAAGAAGTTTTGGTAGCACGTCTCATAAATAAATTCATGCAAGAAAAAGAAAACATTATTGTCAACATACATCCAGACAATTTCTTGAATCAAAAATAAATTGATTGCCAAGCATTTATGGAAGAGATATAGAAAAGAACATAACCTGAAGAAATAAAACATTTTATGTAAATTATCAACAGTAAATGGTAGAGAGGGAAGTTGAATTCCCAAAAATGTGTGTAACCCTGCCAAGAGAAGTAGCTCTTAGCAGCTGTATCAGGTTTATACATTGCAACTACCTCTAAAGCACCAAGGACACAAGATATCTGTTTCTTTTCTTAAGAGGTGTAGCATGTCCAGTCACTGAGAGAAGCTACACATCCCTGGGTGGGAACTGTAATATGCTGCTGTACCAACAAAGCTTTCTGACAGGTATGATACTAAATGTATATTATATGTGCATTCTGTTCTGGAATATTTTAAGTATCTCTCTAAAATCAAACTACAAATTTATTTTAATGGCAGAATAACTGCAGATGGTTTATCATGAAGTATTCTGTATGCAGTGTCTGAGCAGAGCAGCTGTATCAATGTTGTTGAAACTGAGCCTATTTGTATAAATAAGTGATTGTGTCATACAGATAGAACTTAGTAACTAATAAAAAAGGTCACTAGATTCATCACTACAGACCAAACAACCTCAGCCAAATCCTGGAGAGCCAATCCTGTCCTGGGGTGCATCAGGGCCAGCATCACCAGCCAGGCAAGGGAGGAGATTGTCCTGCCCTGCTCTGCTCTGCACTGGGGCTGCCTCACCTCCAGTGCTGTGTGTGGTTTTGGTGCCAAAATATTTTAAAAGAAATTAAGTTATAGGGCAGCATCCATAGAAGGGCCATGAAAAAGGTGAAGGACCTTGAGGGGATGCCGTATGAGGAGTAGCTGAGGTCATTTGTTCAGGCTGGACAAGAGGAGACTAAGGGGAGACTTCATTGCAATTACAATTTCCTTGTGAGGGAAAGAGTAGGGGCAGACACTGATCCCTTCTCTCTGCTGACCAGTGACAAGACCTGAGGGAACAGCCTGAACTTGTGTCAGAAGAGGTTTAGGTTGGATATTAGAAAATGGTTTGGAACCCAGAAAAACCACTGGGGACTGGAAGAGACTCTCTCAGGGAAGTGATCACAGCATAATAGAGTTCAAGGCATGTGTGATTCTTGGGGATGGTCCTGTGCAAGGCTGAGAGGTGACCTCTATGATCCTTGAGAGCCCTTCCAAGGCAGCATATTCTGTGATTCTCTGGTTGTTTCAAGGCCCTTCTGTCTGCTGACCTATTGCAGTAGTCTACCATGGCTGTATTTAGATGGTATGCTATGATTAAATCATTCTCTATTTCAAACTTGTGACTCAGATACATGTTTTCTTCTTTTTTACTGCTTTTTCTCTATTTTTTTTCTCCCCTCTAAAATCAGAGGTACACAGTACAAAATAGGTTACTGGAACTAACTGTACAAGTTGCTTTATATTTCTGTCATAATTATATCTTATCAGTCATGTTTTCCCTCCCCATTTTGTGATATTTTGGGTTGCTTGTTATGGAGAAGAGTAATGAATATACCTGATGACAAAATACAAGACCTGATATATCATTCATGCCTGGTATATTTTACTTCTTGTTAGTATTTACATGAATGTGAGCAGCGGCTGAAAGGCCCTAAAGTATAATTTGAATGCATTAATTGTAACCTCCTAAAACTGAGGTCTGGGGGATATGCTTCTCTTCCCTCTACTGATCAGTTGACTATATGCATCCATAATTTTAACATAACCATGCTGTTCTTAGTGATTTTCTAGTACAGATCAAAAGTTCTTATTTAATTAGGGTCACTTAGTCAAGAAGAGGTAGCTTGCTACATTGTTGATATCACAAAATTTTCATTAACAGGCACCTGCCTCAGGTATTTTTAAGAAAATTTTCAGGCATTGCTAGAGACTGCCTGTATCATGACCCAAAATTATCCTATTACAGAAAAGTCCTCCTGTTATAAAAATTGTTTGTGTGTGTTACAACAAGCAGAGTTCTCATACTACTTGAAATTATTTATGTTAAATAACAAAAGGAATTGCAAAGACATGGTTCCATGGGGTGCATTTCTTCCACTCACTTTAATGACTGTAATAATAGAAGCCAAACAAAATGAAAGGATAAAGCTGAAATGTACTGGAATTGGAGTGAATATGAAACAAAAAATACAACCTCTGATGTGAACACTGTCAAAATCTTTCTATGTTTTACAGATGCAGAGGAAATGGCAGTGAAACGAGTGAAGTTGAAGTACTAGGCTAATACTCTATCTCCTGCCAAAAAACCCAAACCAAACCAGAAAAAAACCAAAACAACTAAACACCACAAAAACAAAAACCACAGAACACTCCCAACAACCTGTTAGTCTAATCTATTACTCTGCACATGAAATTGTCTTTGAAATGTCTTAAAGATGTCAACTAAAAGTCCATACCTCATCAATAAAGTTGGAAGAACCTTGCCATGAACTTGCAGAGGCATTGACTGTGTGGTCTGTCCTCTGAAATTTTTTCAATGTATTAGTAACTTGCGTGATTTAGATACCAGTTCTAGAAATCTTAAACACTGCTACCACCTGCTGGTTAGTTTACATTTGGATCTACTAGCTCATCAGCAAAGAAAGAAGAAAAGGAGGTAAAGCATATTCTGAAATGTTTTTTAAAATAATTTTGCTTTTCTATTCCATCAACATTATCTAATTAATCTCTTTCTGTTGTCATAGTTGAAAAAATTTAGTGCCATAAGTTGAAAAACCTTGTTATTTACAGAAAGATTCACTTATAGTAAGAGTGGCCTGTGATATTGCTTTCCTCCATTTTCACTTTTATTTCCTATAATACATCTTGTAACTAGGTCAGTGTTGTCTGCTATGTAGCCTTCCATGTTAGAAGACAAATATGTCAGTACTCCATACTACTCTTACCAGCTGAGACAGTGTTGAATTCATTGTTGTGGTGCATGTAGATCAGAAAAGAAAAATAAAAAATGTATCTTGAAAAAGTTGAAATAATTGTCAGCAGCATTTCACTTGTTTAACAAAGATAGACACACAGTAGTTCTCATGACAACTGAACTTTGCACTGTTATGCCAGAAAAAGTTCTTATCCCTTAGTGTTAATTAAAGTAAATGATAACAATATAATTCCATGTTTAAAAACTTACTGCATCTGCCTTAACAATTAGGAATTCATACAAAAAAGAAAGCACTACAGTCACTGAAAAGTATACTGTTTCACTAGAAAAATGTGGAAAATCTCGCCTAAAATGATTTCTAATAAAGTTGTGTGTCAAGAAGTTCCATTAAATATCCAAATAAAGAGAAATAGAAGTCCCCATTTGACTATCTGCTTGGAAAAAAACCCAGCCAGTAGTGTCCAGTAGTGAAATCCACAGGCTAAAGAACAATAAGGAGTCTAAGACAAGATACTTGGATCAGGATCTACACTCCTTCACATTTCTTTTATTTTCAAAGCTATTATTATGATCCAACCCAGATTACAGGTTCAGATCAGAATATCCCTTGATTTGCTAAGTACCTGAACCATTTTTAAAGGAGGTATTTGGTCAAAAACTGGGAAAATTATGACCAGGGACGGTGCTGCATGTTTGTCTAGTTCTCACTGAAGAACTGTTTGCTGCATATAATAATTTTAATAGCATAATAATTTTAAAAGTTAATAATGAATGGCATTAAATTATTTTGTAATTTTTCCAGAATTCTGTAAAAATGTCAAGATTTTGGTATTCTTCTCAGGTTGGAGTGAGATGTTAGGCTAGTTCTAAAGTAGAGTTAATATTTTTTTAGTTTTATTCCCCATCTTATAATGTTAGTATTCACAAAATACCAGAAAGTCTCCATGCAAGATTCTAAATTGTCTAATGCTTGTGTATGAAACAAGTGAAAATGCACTGATTAACAGTAGCCAAGTCTTGCAGTGGTATAACCAAGAACAGCATCCAAGCCTTCAGTTTTAGATTAAAGGGGGAATTTCTGCCATTATATTCTTTCTGATTTGTCATTCCATCAAAAATGCCCAGACCTGAGTTACAGAAGAAGGTGCATTTAAACTGTACATTTCCAAAACATTTAAGTGCCTCTTTTATTTTACCTCTTTAAATATTAGTTTTGGTGAGAAGAGAAGCAATAAGACAACCAAAAAGAAAAGAAAAACCCCACAATTTTTGCTGTCAGCCTTCCATCTGGGCTGAAAGCAAGATATGCTAGCAACATCATAAAAGTATCTCACTGGATTTTTAAGATTTCTAGACCATTTTTTATAC